TATGATTCTTTTTTTTGGGTCCGGTTGTGGGGCCTGAACTCTGGGTCTGAGAGCTGTCCCTCAGCTCTTCAGCTCAAGGCTAGCGCTCTACCACTTGAGCCACAGCGCCACTTCTGGCTTTTTTCTTATGTGGTGCTGAGGAATGGAACCCAGGGCCTCAGGCATGCAAAGCAAGCGCTCTACCACTGAGCCAACTTCCCAGCCCCAAGAGGTGTGATTCTAAGAGGTACAGAACTTAGCTACAAAACACAAGGTAGAGTACAACCCAAGGACGACCACCAGAAGAAAATCAATTTCCTTTCTTCCTTCTAGATTAAGTAACCCACAGCATCTGCTTATCTGATTTATTTATTCATTCAGTAGTCAATTAGTACCAGATAGTACAAATTATGTAAAAATGCTATTTTACCCAATAATGACCTTTTCTCTTCTATGAACTGGAATTCACTATGGAAGATTAGTGATTTCTCAGATTTCTGAGAGCTTATACCCCAGCTTAATTGACTAGAAGAACCTAATAACTGTTTATAATTCTTTTCTTTTCCACAAAGACAAAAAGCTAGGAATGAACTCGAGGTAAGACGGTCAAACTTTGTTGTTCACATTGAAGTAGTAGCTCCCAAGGTCAGATGTTTACAGATGGGGTTGAAGATGTCACACTGTTAAGAATTTTTCCCCTAAGAGTCTATGTACACACTATCATTTTACTTTGGCCCATATGTTACTCTGCCTAATTGGTTTTGTTTGTTTTTTAAAACAAAACTTGACTATTTCCACTTTAACCATCCAACAGATCTCCTCTAACACTTCAAGAGAAATAAAGCTTTAAGGAAAATTAATGATTTCCAAAGGCACTGGACACCAGCTAAGTTAAGAAGGTGAGATATCAGGCAGGTGAGAAAGAGAAGTTTCAAAATAAACAAGGACCTAGCTTAGTTTCCTAGCCATGACAAAATCCTAAGTTAGTGAGTCAAGTGATTGTGCACGTACCCATGGTAGTGAGGCCACAGGGTGACTCTGGCTCCTGGGCTTCCTCTTCGCCCTCTTGGTCTGACACGCCATTCTCCGTGGGTACTGAGTTCTCCTTTATGCTCTCTTCATTCCCTTCAAGCGACTCCTGCTTTATAAGCATGCGCAAGGTAGGTTTTTTCTTTTTCTTGGCCTTTGGCTTAGGTTGAGAGAGCCGTTTTTTCTCTAATTCAATACTTTTTTTGCCTACAAAAAAACAGAAAGAAAAACTCATTGAAATAAGACGTTCTTATTAAAAGCATGCCTACGTGGTAATCTGAAAACAATAATCTTTTTGACAGCTTTTTGCTTTTCTTCCTTGCTTTTTTTGATGGCCACACTGGGGCTTGAACTCAGGGCCTGAGTGCTGTCCCTGAACTTCTTTTTTTGCTCAAGGCCAGTGCTTGAGCAGTATCTCCACTTCCAGCTTTTTGGTGGTTAACTGGGCATAAGAGTCTCATGAATTGGGGCTGGGAAGGTGGCTCAGTGGTACAGCGCTTGCCTTGCATGCCTGAGGCCCTGGGTTCGATTCCTCAGCACCACATAAGCAAAAAGAAAAAAGGCAGGAAGTGGTGCTGTGGCTCAAGTGGTAGAGTGCTAGCCTTGAGCTGAAGAGCTGAGGGACAGCGCCCAGGCCCAGAGTTCAGGCCCCATGACCGGCCCCCCCCCCAAAAAAAAGTCTCATGAATTTTCTTGTCTGAGTTGTCTTTAAACCATAATCCTAAGATTTTAGCCTTCTGAGTAGCTAGAGCTACCCAATGAATTTTTAGTCAAAAGCCATCACAACCGTTAACCAAACTCTTGCAGGACTTCATTAAAATACAATGACCAATTACCCTTGAATACCTATTGTATATCCTAAAAATAAGGACATTCTCAACATCATCCCAGCACAACCACTTCAGTCAAGGAATTAACAGTGGTACATCACTACTGTCCATATTCCCCTCAAATTCAGTCATGCATACTACATTTGACTATCAGGTCTCACTAGTACAGGGAACTATAGTTTTTTTCCCTCTTTCTCTGTTTTCTGGTTCTATGCATTCAACCCAGGGAGATGCATATATATGCATATATATATACATATACATATATATATACATACATATATATATGCAGAATATATATGCTACAACTGAGCCACACTTCCAGCCTATTATCTTCTATTTTATTTTATTGCTGAGTAGAAGAACTCCACTGTAGGAATTGTGTTCAACACAGGTGATAAATTTGTCTGCTGAAAAACATGAGCTACTTCCAGTAGATGGAGACCACAGACAAAGCTAAGAGCACTCTTTTAGAAGTTTTCATGTAAATCCAGCAATTGAGTAAATTTCTACCTTATTTTATTTTTTTGTGCTGGTCCTGAGGCAGGGCTCTGTCCGTGAGTTTCTTTTGCTCAAGGCTAGCACTCTACCACCTGAACCACAGTTCCAATTCCAGCCTTTTGCAATTCTCAGATCTTAGCCTCCTGAGTAGCTAGGATTACAAATGTGAGACATCAACTCCCAGCTTCTACTTGTTTGTAATATAGTCTAATTATTTCTAGTTTTTTTTCTATCAGGTGGTCATGTTCACTATTAGTCAATTTTTTGGTAATCAGAAATGGATCTCTATGCAGGGCACTGGTGGCTCACGCCTGTAATCCTAGCTACTCAGGAGGCTGAGATCTGAGGAACATGGTTCAAAGCCAGCCTGGGCAGGAAAGTCTGTGAGACTCTTATCTGCAATAAACCACTAGAAAACTAGAAATGGCCCTGTGGCTCAAGGGGTAGAGCACTTGCCTTGAGCTGAAGAGCATAGGGACAGCGCCCACGCACAGAGTTCAAGCCCCATGACCGACCAAAAAATAAATAAATAAAAATAAATGGATTTCTTCTGTTTCTGATTTTGAAGTTCAAATAGTCCCAGATGTCATCAGTAGCAGCAGCCACTTCAAGCTGGCTTCTATGTCCTTTGTTCTCCTTGGCTCTTTGATTATGGCTTGCCTTTTTGGCATAATATCATGTCCCAGATCCTTCCATTTCCCAAAAAAACCCTGAACCTTTTCAGTGAAGAATGATACTTAGCAACCAAGCTCTAGATGATAGGGGCCCTGCCTCCCTTGCTGGGGCTCTGAATAGCTATTTGTATGGATCTGGTCAATTTGATTACTAAGGAAAAGAGAAAAGTTATTGGGCAGTCATTTTATGGACTCCATGCTCTGACTGACCTTGAGGAGGCCTAGAATGGTCTTGCATGGAAATCAGCCATTTGTACACGCAGAAGTCATCTGCCCCTGAGTAGATGCAATCCGGATCCAATGGGGACCATGCTACACAGAGCAGTCGGCCTCGATGTCCTCGGAAGTTGCATAGAGGCTCTTCTCGGAGAGTATCCCACACCTGCATCCAATACCATGTAACAGAACGATGACAATGTCTGGTTATCCTGGGAGGAATAAATTACTTATTCAAAAAACCACTGGGGCTGGGAATGTGGCTTGGTGAGGGAATGCTTGCCTAGCATACATAAAGTCCTGGGCTTGATTCCTCAGTACCACATAAAAAGAAAAAGCCAGAAGTGGCGCAGTGGCTCAAGTGGTAGAATGCTAGCCTTGAGCAAAAGAAGCTCAGGGACATTACCCAGGTCCTGAGTTCAAGTCCCAGGACTGGCAAAAAAAATAAAAATAAATAATAAAAAATTAAACTTTTGACCACTATTTCCTCATGTTATTTATGACTTTTAGGAACTCAATACCAGACACTACTATTTCCTGTGGAGAAATATATGCTATAGGATATATAATCATTTCTATGGAATGGTTCTTTTTTTTTTTTTTTTGGTGCTGGTACTAAGACTTCAACTCCAGGGCCTGGAGTACTGTCCCTTAGAGGCTGGTGCTCTACCTCCAATTCCAGCTTTTTAGCAGTTAATTGGAGTGTAAGACTGGGAAGGAAGGAGGCAATGGATGGGATAAGACATATACTATATACATATACAACCTCTCTCTTATACAACAAATACGCACTAATTAAAAAAGAAAATTAGAGGTCTAATTACTAAAGATAATAATAATATTATTATTATTTTTGACCACTCTGGGCTTGAACTCAGGGCCTAGGCACTGTCCCTAAGCTGCTTTTGCTCAAGGCTAGTACTTCTACTTGAGCCACAGTGCCACTTCTGGCTTTTTCTGTGTATGTGGTACTGAGGAATTGAACCCAGGGTTTCATGCATGCTAGGCAAGCATGAGCCCCATTTCCTGTCCTATGATTCTCATTTTTGAGTTCCTAGGAAAATGATCAATTCTCTTTTTTTGGTGCTAATACTGAGTCTTGAATTCAGGGTCTGGATGCTGACCCTTACGTCTTTCGCTTACGGCTAGTTCTCTACTGCTTAAACCACAGCTCCAATTCCAGCTTTTTGCTAGTTAATTGAAGGTAAGAATCTCTCAGATTTTCCTGCCCAGGCTGAACCTCAATTCTAAGATCCTGGCATCCTGAGTAGCTAGGATTACAGGAGTGAGCCACACAGGTACTTGGTATCTCTTGAATTATCCTGTGGCCATTTCACCAAAGGCAGCCCTTTTTCATGGCGCCCAGCTTTGTGCAAAGAGCTCAATTACAATTCAACACCAAGTTAGACATCTACCAGTTCTCCAGTTGCCAAGTTTCTTAGCTGCTAAGGACAATCTGGAACTCCTACTTGGAAGACCTGGTCTGGCATTTCATCTTTATTTTTTAGGGTGTGGAAGTTTCTGACTTAACCAACTTATTATAAAATTGTTTCTGTGCCAAGTATGATAGTGCAGGCTTGTAATTACAGCAAGCAGAAAGCTAAGTTAGAAAGATCTAGAGTTTGGGGCTGGGAAGGTGGCTCAGTGGTACAGTGCTTGCCTTGCATGCCTGAGGCCCTGGGTTCGACTCCTCAGCACCACATAAGCAAAAAGAAAAAAGCCGGAAGTGGCGCTGTGGCTCAAGTGGTAGAGCGCTAGCCTTGAGCTGAAGAGCTGAGGGACAGCGCCCAGGCCCAGAGTTCAGGCCTCACAACCGGACCTAAAAAAAAAAAAGAAAGATCTAGAGTTTGAGGCCAGCCTAAATGACATAGTGAGAGATTCTTGTGTCAAAAAAAAAAAAAATACAAAAACAAAAGCAAAAACCATAAACCAACCAAAAATACTCAATTATTTTTGCAATTAGCCAACATTTGTGTTTAAAACAATTGCGTATGTCTGTATGGGGTACATGACTGTAGTCCTAGCTACTTAGGATGCTGAGAACTGAGGTTCAATCAAGATTTAAAGCCAGCCGAGGCAAGAAAGCCCATCAGACTCTTATCTCCAATTAACCACCAAAAGGCTCTTGAGCACTTGCACTGTGGCTCAAGTAGAAGAATGCCAGCCTTGTGTGAAAACTTAGGGCGTGAAACCCTTAAGTTTAAGCCTAACTAATGGTGCAAAAAAAGAAAAACCAGTACAAAACATGTGCAGTCTGTCCAGCTACTCATTTAAACCAGACTGAAGTTTTGTCAGAAGGCACTTTTTTTTGTTGGTTCTGGGGCCCGAACTCTGGTCCTGGGCACTGTCCCTGAGCTCTTCAGCTCAAGGCGAGCGCTCTACCACTTAGGAGTCACAGCACCACTTCCGGTTTTCTGATGGTTAATTGGAGTTAAGAGTCTCAGACTTTCCTGCCTGGGCTGGCTCTGAACCACAACCCTCAGATCTCAGCCTCCTGAGTAGCTAGGATTACAGGTGTGAGCCACCAGCGCCCAGCAGGAGACACACTTTGATGTCTCCTTAGTTCTTAGATTCAAATGCACAGTGAGGAACCCTCAGGGTTGAGGACAGGTTAAGGACACAACAGTACCTGTGCTGTTCCATCGTAGGAAGCAGACACTAGCCTCCCATCATGATGTGGGCTCCACGCCAGACTGGTAATCTTAGCTGTGTGTCCTGAGAGGGTCCGGTAGGGTTCTGTCATGGTCACTGGAGACTCAGGATTGCTCTCTAAGAGAAGGACAGAGAACGGTGGTAACAAGGCCAGAGTCAAGATTTTTTTCAGACCTAGGTGATTTTTAGCAGGCAATACTGTCTTCTGGGTCAGAATAGGGTACATTATCAGGGTCTGATACAAATTTACCATGAAAAGTGTTAGCTTTCACAATTCCCTTCTGAAAGCCAACAAAAGGAAAATAATAAGACAGATGCTGGAGGCTCATGCCTGTAATCCTAGCTACTTAGGAAGCTGGGATCTAAGGACTGCAGTTCCAAGGTAGCATGGGCACGAAAGTCCCGAGACTGTTTTTTTTTTTTTTTTTGAGTCCGGTCGTGGGCCTAAACTCAGGGCCTGGGCACTGTCCCTCAGCTCTTCAGCTCAAGGCTAGCGCTCTACCACTTGAGCCACAGCGCCACTTCCGGTTTTTTTTTTACTTATGTGGTGCTGAGGAATCGAACCCAGGGCCTCAGGCATGCAAGGCAAGCGCTCCACCACTGAACCACCTTCCCAGCCCTGAGACTTTTACCTCTAATAAAATACTCAGAAAAAGCCAGAAGTACTGCTGTGGCCCAGTGGTAGATTGCTAGCCTTGAGCACAAAAGAGGCTCGGGAACAGAGCCTAGATCCTGAGTTCAAGCCCCACGACTGACAAAAAACAAAAACAAAAACCAGGAAAATAATATTCTTGTTAATACTTCCTAGGTAAAAAGGTATAAAATGAAGTTTATTATGAGGGAGGAAAAAAATACAGATAAAAACCAAACTGCAGTGCTCCATTCAGCAACACATATACTAAAATTGGAAGGACATAGAGAACATTAGCATGGCTCCTGTGTAAGGATGACACACAAATTTGTGAAGCGTTGGGGCTGGGAAGGTGGCTCAGTTGTAGAGTGTGTGCTTTGCATGCGTGAGGCCCTGGGTTCAATTCTTCAGCACCACATAAGTAGAAAAAAGCCAGAAATGGCAGAGCGCTAGCCTTGAGCTGAAGAGCTGAGGGACAGAGCCCAGGCCCAGAGTTCAGGCCCATGACCAACAAAACAAACAAACAAACAAAAAAACTGCAGGAGCATCTATAAGACTACTGTTTTACACATATCAAATGTGACAAAATGCTAAAACTTAATGAACCCAGGAAAGTATAAATAAGATTTCTTTTGTATTTCTCCTGCAACTTCCTTTTATCTTTCTCTCTCTCTTTGCCAGTCCTGGAGCATACACTTAGGGCCTAGGCACTGTCCCTGAGCCTCTCTTGTGGTCAAGGCTAGTGCTCTACCACTTGAGGAATTAGCGCCACTTCTGGCTTTTTTCTGTCTATGTGGTACGCAGTGCTTCATGCATGCTAGGCAAGTACTCCTCCACTAAACCACATTCCCAGCCCATCTTGCAACTTTCTTTTAAATTTGAACTATCTAATGTAAGCCAAGCATCACTAGTTGCTCATTCCTGAAACACTAGCTACGTAGAAGATTGAGACCTGAGGATCATGGACTGAAGCCAGCCCAGGTAAGAAAGCCAGTGAAAACTCTTACTCCACTTAACCATTCAAAATCCAGGAGTGGAAGTATGGTTCAAGTGGTAACCTCAGACTTGAGCAAAAAGGCTAAGGGACAGCTCCATGAGTTCAAGCCCCAGTAGTGGCACAAAATCCAAAACAAAAGCTAGATATGATTAGGAAATGGAAACAAGAGGATTTTTTTCTGTTGTTGTTTTCTTTTTTTTTTTTAGTCTTCCTTTGGGAAGGTGGGATTAGAGGGGGGGAAGGGTTGCACAGAAATGAAGGCACAAAGGGTGAACAGATCCATCAGTGGTACCCACTAGACACTATGTTGAAAATGAACTATAAAATTTGTGGGTGAGGACATAAGGAAAAATGGGAGTAAGGGAAGGGGTGACATTGTCCAAAAAGGAATGTACTCATTTCCTGACTTACATTAACTGTAACCCATCTGTACATTACCCTTTATAATAACAAAAATCAACAACTATAACAACAAAACAGTGAGAGAGAAAAACTGAGAGAGAGCAAGGGAAGGGGTGACATTGTCCAAAAAGAAATGTACTCTTTACCTGACTTAGGTAGCTGTAACCCCTCTGTACAGTATGTTCACAAATAAAATAAAATAAAATTAAAAAAAAAAAAAAAACTCTGGGCCTGGGCACTCTCCCTCAGCTCTTCAGCTTAAGAGCTCTACCACTTGAGCCACAGCATCACTTCCAGTTTTCTGAGTGGCTTATTAGAAATAAGAGTCTCATGAACTTTTCCTGCACAGGCTGGCTTTGAACCGTGATCCTCAGATCTCAGCCTCCAGAGTAGCTAGGATTGCAGGCTTGAGTCACCCATGAGACTCATCTCCAATAAATCACTCAGAAAACCAGAAGTGGCACTGTGGCTCAACTGGCAGAGTGCTAGCTTTTAGCTGAAGAGCTTATGGACAGCACCCAGGCCCAGAGTTCAAGCCCACAATTGATACACACACACATACACACACACACACAAAACTAGGTTGTTTTGTGTATGAGTGTCATCCATTTGACTAAGTGAGTAAGTAATGGAGTCTGAACTAGGCCTCTCCATCTTGCTTAGTGTTATTGCTCAAGGCTGGCACTCTACCACTAGAGCCTTATCTCAACTTCCAACTTTTTATTGGTTAACTGGAAATAAGTGACTTTTCTGCCCAGGCTAGCTTTAAACCAGGATCTGAGGAGAGGGAAATTAGAAAAAGAAAAATGAGAGAAGGGGGTAACAAGTTTGACAAGAAATGTACTTATTACCTTATGTAACTGTAACCCCTCTGTACATCACCTTGATAATAAAAAAAATGAAAGATTAACAAAACAAAAAAGCGTGAGCCATTGGTATCCAACAACTGTTTTCTACATTAACATCACGTTTGGATGAATTGTGAAGTAGATAAATGTTACTTTTGAAAAAGGAGGAAATAGTAATTAAATGCTAAAAAGAAAGTAAAAACAAAGAACAGATGTCAAGTAGCTGAGCACAGGAAGGAATAACCAAATATTACCTATGACAGTTTTCAGATTGTGTACATAAATGACTGCATTGTTGGAGCCCGAGGCCATCAGATAGCTGAGCTCCGGTTGGCTGCCATGTTCATGATGCCAGGTAATGGTGTTCACAAGTTTGTGATGCTGCTGGATGATGCAGATCAGCTTCAAGTTGGGAACCTGAAATATTTCTATTGATCTGAAATAAGAAACATACCAGGGAAAGAAATGTTAATAACATATTGCTAAATGCAAAAAGCCACTTAGTCTAAGGAAGAGAATAGCTCTTTTCATTTCTGAAAAGGTCTTCTCTCCCAAGGAATCCTGAGCTGTATATGTTTGTAAACACTAAACTTGGGAGGCTGAGTTAGAAGGATCATGAAAGTGAAACCAGCCTGAGTTCCAGGTCAATAACATAAGGCTACAGAATGAAACCTCATCTTAAAAAAAAAAAAAGAACCAAGTACAAAATGCTATTCTTTGAAATAAATTTATCTAGCTTTAAGAAATCTTTACAATTTCTAAGAAATTGTGCTACTGGGCATTCATAATGAACAGTGTTAAGAAAAAGTAAAATAAATTAATGAAGTAATGTCTGGCATTGGATAAGATATAATGACACCTAAAATTAATTTCTTCCTATGATTACTTGATATACCTGAGGCTCCCTAACTAACATTATAGATAATAATTGCCATATTGTGATAAAAGTAGGCAATTATGCCCCCCCCCTTTTTATTTTTTTGTTGGTTGTAGGGCTTGAACTTTGGGCCTTGGCATTGTTCCTCAGCTCTGCAGCTCAAGGCAAGTGCTCTACCACCTGAGCCACAGCCACACTTCCAGTTTTCTGGTGGTTTGTTAGAGATAAGAGCCTCTTGGATTTGCCTGCCTGGGCTGGCTTTGAACTGTGATCCTCAGATCTCATCCTCCTCATTACTAGGATTACAGGTGTGAGCCACCAGAGCCCAGCTTCGTTTTTTCTTTAAACATAATTTTATTGTTATTATTAAGCTGTTGTATAGAAAGGCTATCATTTTATAAAGAGTTTTTTCTTTTTTAAAAGGAAACAAACACATACCCATCTTCATTGCCAAGAGCCATGATTTTGCCATCTGCTTTCCAGCTGATCTCCGTGTGTACAGGCAATTTGTACTAGAAAGCAAAACAAACCAATTCTGACTATAAATATGTTTTTCTCTACACATCTTACAAATCAATGCTGATAACAAAATTAAAAAAAAATCCATAGGGTTAAACACATCCTAATTACATGGTAGCCATTCTTGTAGGCAAGTTAAAGAGTTACTAAGAAAAAGTATTCTAAGAATGATTTATTTAATGGGACAGAGGACAGTTAGAACTAAATGTCAGTCATGTTTAACTTGTAAAATAAAGTTAACTAAGATGACTTTTATAATGTGTCCACTTGACAGCCCAGGTTTCAAGGTCCTTAACAAAAAGCTGCACACTCTTCTATTCTTCCAAAGTTGTTTTTTCCCACAATCACCAATAGTCTAATATGTTAATATTCCCCAAGACTGTGTGGACCCTATTCTTGCTGGTTTCTTTAGCCTACTTCATACTATCAACTATCTTATGCCTATGAAGAGCTTGCAAATACCTATTTCCAGTCAAAATTCCTTGTACATACCTCTGATCCTTAACTGCCATTAAAAACTTGTTAAACAGGAATATTTTTTTAATTACTGGATATTAATATGTAATTAAAATTTAAGAAAATATTAATAAGCAATTTATTACAGTGCTCAAGCGAAAGGAAATTAACTTTTTTGTGTGCTATTATATGGGCTTGAACTCAAGACCTTGCTTTCTCATTTGGCCTTTTCCCTCAAGGCTGGTGCCTACTACTTGAGCCATAGCTCCACTTCCCAATTTATTTTGGAGGTTAATTAGAGATAAGTATCTCACAGACTCTCTTGCCCAGGCTGGACTAGAACCTTGATCCTCAGATCTCAGCCTCTGAAGTAGTCAGTATTATAGGCATAAGGCATCAATGCCTAGTTTCTGTGAGAGGGTAAGGTACTGATTTGAAGCTCTAGTACACACAGAAATAAAAACAAAAAGATGACATATAAGTATACTGAAAGAACATTAAACCAAACATAATTAAATGTGAGTTTCTGGGTGAAGGATATCAAAGAATTATTATCACTATTATCTTTTCTGGCTTTTTTTTTGCCAGTCCTGGAGCTTGAACTCAGAGCCTGGGCTCTGTCCCTGAGCCTCTCTGTGCTCAAGGCTAGCACACTACCATTTGAACCAGAGTACCACTTCCAGCTTCTTGTTTATGTTGTGCTGAGGAGCTGAGCCCAGGTCTTCATGCATGCTAGGCAAGCACTCTACCACTAAGCCACATTTTCAGCCCTATCTTTTCTGGCTTTTTAAAATCAGAAATTAGGGTTGAAAGCATGGTTCATTTGGTAGCCCATTAGCTAGGGATCGAAAGCATCAAGTACCAAGTTTGAGTCCTAGTCTTGGACTTTAAATAAGTAGTTAAAATGAATAATTTTCCTTAAAAGTAAATTGCCTACAGAAAACTCCTAGTATCTAAATTTATGGTTCAATGGTAACTGGTACTAAGGAAAACTGAAAATACTCAGGCAGACTGAACATTTTAGAATTCCATGGTCACCATATAGATAGTAGCTCTGAGCATCAGTAATTTGATACTACATGAAGTGGGCTACATTAATGACATAAAAATTGTTGTATACATTAATACTGATCATGCTCTTTATCTTGAAGGCACTGGATCCCAAATATTACTAAATATATGCAGCCTTTCAACAACTCCAAAATTTTTACTTTTTCACTTAAATTAGCAAATTATGTACTTTTTTTTGTTTGTCTGTCTGTTTGGGAGAATCACAGTAACATTTACTTTGTCTTTTACTATTTATTTTGGGGATGCATATTTTCACAAAATACAGGAAAACACTCAGCAGATCATTTGATTTAAATATAAGTAACATAGCCAGGAACCTGTGGATCATGTCTATAATCTGGCTACTCAAGAGGCTAAGATCTGAGAATTGTGGTTAACCACACTGGGCAGGAAGGAACACTATATCCCTTATCTTGAATAACCAAAAATGCTGAAAGTAGAGCTATGGAAAATGGTAGAACACTAGCCTAAAGAAAAACAAAACAAAACAAACCAGGGCTGACACACACACAAATCTGACAGGAATCCAATTCTGAGAGCTACTCTGTATCATCTCAACTTCCTAATGGCATGTACAGAGCCACAATGCCCACAGAGCCTTTTCTGGTTTTCTGCTGATTCACTGGAGATAAGAATCTCATGGATGCGCCTGCCCTGTCTGGATTTGAACTGGGGATCCTCAGATCTCAACCTCCTGAGCAGCTAGGATTTCAGGTATGAGCCAATGGGCACCTGGCTAAAAACTTATATATGGTGAAAACACAAGTAATAAATCTGGAAGTAAGGCTAGCTTACTGTAATGTATCTTGAATAAAAATACTTTGTGGTTGGATGTGGAAACCCTATTATGGTCTTTTTTTTTTGCCGTGGCATCATTTTGACCTAAAAAGGAAGCTTTATGGTTAAAATATGGAAGCTCATCATAAATCACTGCAATTGAGGACTGGATTTCTTCATGTCACTCAATGATAAAGTCCCCTAAGATTACACATACATTCAATTATAGCCTTTCAACAAAACCTAAGAAGTGTGACTAGCATGGTGGATATCGCTAGTATGGAATGTAGCATGCAAGATGGGAACAGAAGAACCTGAGAGGAGGCTTCAGACGGCAACTCACTTTGGTAGAATTGGTGTCCCTGATGAGTTTGTTGATGTCAAAGGCCTCACCACTCAGCTTCCAGGGGTTATGCTGTAAGACAATCCCTTCCCCTCCACAGCTGTATAAAGTGAGGGAAGGTCTGTCTCCTTCTCCTCCTAAGGCAGAAAACAAAGGTTATGAGTTTTCAACAACTTAAGTGTTTGTTTCCAGAGTATGACTATCTGACTAGGAGAATCAAGAAATAAAAACCTGAAACATTCCAATAATAAACTGGAATAAATTCTTTCCATCCTGTACATAGCTGTAGGGACAAGTAAAAGGAGATATTCTTTATTCTATGATAATTTCTAAAACACAGCACATTTATTTTAAACATTTTTCTGTGACATCAAAGCTGGAATCAGGAAAAAATATTCCCAAACCAAAAATTATGAGAATTCTTGCCCATATTCCCCATGAAATTAATTTCTTTTAATCATCCAGATTTTATTAGCAGATATATGAAAAATCTTGCTTTTAAAATCAAGTCATATTTAATACTAAAACCCCTATGTTTTCAATTTTGACATTTAGAGGAGTGTAGGATTTTAGACAGCTTCAGTATTAAGACAAATCACATTAATATATCAGATCTTAGCCTTATCACCACTGCTTTGGGGAAGCCTGGCTTTATTTCTAGAGATTCCTATACTTTCTACTTTCAAGGTATCTGTCTAGCAGTTTCTTTTTGTTTGTTTATTGCCAGTCCTGGGGCTTGAACTATGGGACTGGGTACTATCCCTGAGTTCCTTTTGCTCAAGGCTAGTGCTCTACCTCTCAAGTTACAGCGTCACTTCTAGCTTTTTCTGTGATTAGTTAGAGCTAAGAGTCTCAAAGACTTTCCTGCCTAGGCTGGCTTCTAACCATGATCCTCAAATCTCAGCCCCCTGAATAGCTAGGAGTACAGGTGTGGGCCATTGGCACCTAGCCATTCTCATTATTTTAAAGGTTATCAGCTGTCATATTAAGTAGTAATATTACGATCTATGACGATTCAAAGGCAAGAATTAACACAATGTTTGAGAAAAACAGTGAGCATTTAGTACTTCCTAGATTGACAAGTAATTGATTTTTTTTTTACCTGTATCTTCCCAAAGGCCATGAGATTTAATTGATTTTATGATTACTACTATAGTTTGGATGTCTCCTCTAAAACTCATGTTGAAATTTAACTGACACTGTAACTGTATTAATACATGGATTCTCAAGCCAGGCGCTGGTGGCCCATCCCTGTAATACTAGCTACTCAGGAGGATGAGATCTGAGAATCGCAGTTCAATCCCAGCATGGGCAGGAAAGTCTGTCGAATTCCTATCTCCACTTAACCACCAGAAAGCCAGAAGTGGGGCTGTGGCTTGAAGTAGTAGAGCACTACCCTTGAGCAAAAGAGCTCAGGGACAGTGTCTAGGTCTGAATTCAAGCCCTACAGCCAGCAAAAAAAAAAAGATTATCATGTAGGAGAGCTCTGCCTTTGTAGATGACTTCATTATGAAAATGATTTGGTTGCAAAAGCAGTTCCCTCTCACACTGTTTCTTATTCATGTTCTTTTGCCTTTCTACCTTTCTTTATAGGGAGACACAGCAAAAAGACCTGAATGCTGTGCTCTTTAACTTTCCAGAACATTAAGCCAAATAAAATTTCATTGCTTATAAATTAACCAGTCTATGGATAGTCCCTTTACTTAAAAAATCCCTTTTAAAAAAATTCTAGGACTTTCAAAGATAGCTATAAAATTTCAACTTTCATACAAAAATTAAAATTTTAGCAAATCAATCTTTAATTTTTTTCATATACAAAGAAAATGAAATCAGTATTCTAAGCTGGGCACCAGTAACCCATGCCTGTGATCCTTACTACTCAGAAGTCTGAGATCTGAGGCTAGTTTATAAAGACAGCCTGAGCAGGAAGCTTGATGGTGAGACTCATCTCCAAGTAACCAGCAAAAAACCAGAAGTGGAGGCGTGGCTTAAGTGGTAAAGTGCCAGGCTTGAGTGAAAATGTGAGGGAGACCACTGAGATCAAGTCCCAGTAATGCCATATACACACAAAAATATAAGTATTCCATTCTTTGGGCATTTAAATATACAGAACTGCAAGAATTCCTATAACTAAACTATAGCATTTCTAAATCAAGTATTTCCCTAGTGCATACAGCAATCCTTCCGTTGAAATGAAAAAACTATTACTGAAGGCTGCTTAAGTTCTGATAACTTAATAATGCTTTAGAGGTTAGGGGAGTTTATAGGTAAATTGTTTTTCCTAGATACTCCAATTTGTCACTTGCTACTGATGCTTTCATGGACCCCTGGGTACACAGAAAACCACAAATACAGTCAGTGACTTAGGACATTTACAATTCCTTCTACATTTTTTGGTTGGTTGTGGAGCTTGAACTCTGGGCCTGGGCGTTGTCCCTCAGCTCTTCAGCTCAAGGCTAGCACATTACCATTTGAGACACAGCACCACTTCCAGTTTTCTGAGTGGCTTATTGGCAATAAGAGTCTCACAGCCTTTCCTACCCGAGCTGGCTTTGAACCGAGATTCTCAGCTCTCAGCCTCCTGAGTAGCTAGGATTACAGGCGTGAGCCACCACACCTGGCTTCCTTCTACTTTTAATGCCTTAGGATTCAAGTGAAAGAAAACCCTACGTATTTGTTAAAGAATGATGCACACACTTACCGAGTGGCATGGGAGGCACTGGTGGACCCCAGGCTAATGTGTACACAGTCTTCTTATGATACGTGCTAGAAATCTGTGGAGGTCTTTGCAGGTGGAGGTGGTGCAGAACAAAGAAGAAGATTTAAATAATAAAAAGGAATAGTGGAAAACAGACCATCTTTGTCTAAAATGACTTTATTACAAACTCAGTTATTCATAGAAAAAAGTAATTTCAGTACCTTTTCCAGTTGATTGTAAAAAAGCACTTCATATATGAGATAATACCTAATATATAAAAACTAGCCCTAAATACACCTTACCTAGAAAAAACAAGTCAATTCTCATCCATCTGGCCAGTTTGGAACTGTTTTCTTATCTGTCCCTCTAAGCAGCCCATTTCATAATTGTCAAGTATCCTAGCGTTGCTATAACATTGTAGAAATATAAAAGTTCTGACAACTAGAAATCTAAGAAGCTACTAATTCTACCTGTTAAGACAGAAAATTTCAATTATTTAAAGTTATTGCTAGCCATATAGTCACTATTCAAATATATTCTTTTTTTTTTTTTTTGGGTCCGGTCGTGGGGCCTGAACTCTGGGCCTGGGCGCTGTCCCTCAGCTCTTCAGCTCAAGGCTAGCGCTCTACCACTTGAGCCACAGTGCCACTTCCGGATTTTTTCTTTTTGCTTATGTGGTGCTGAGGAATCGAACCCAGGGCCTCTGGCATGCAAGGCAAGCGCTCTACCACTGAGCCACCTTCCCAGCCCCGCAAATATATTCTTAATGTGACAAGATTGAGTATAGACTGATTTTCCAAATTGACTCTTTTTAAGGAAACCTTGCTCTTAAGGTTTTCTAGTGATGTTTGTCAGTAAAGCATGCTTTGGACACAATCACCACACTGTATGACTTCTAATACAAATTATCTTCTAGGTGTGATTTTAGAACTCCAAAATCAAGAACTGAACCAACTGTGGCATTATTTATTTTTATGTACCTGACAAATTGATAGAAATCACTCTAGATAACGAACCAGAATTTCTCCAACTAAGAGACAGAGTAAGCTATATATGGCGTGGATACCTAAAACTACAGCAATATCCTTCCTCCAACTACGTAACTTTATTAGTGTTGTCCTGAAAATTCACCTTTTTTTTTAAAAAAATAAGTTTTTTATTATGAAAAGACTGTACATAGGAGTTACAATCACATAAGCAAAGTAATGAGTACATTTCTTATCAAGCGTTGGTGCCTCCTCCTTTGTTTTTCTCCTACCATCCCCCCTCCCACCCGCTGCCTAAATTGTAAAGTTCATTTTTCAACATACCATCTTGTACATCTCATTGTTGCAATGGGTCAACTTGTATCCCTATTTAAACAATTTGTTTTTTCCCTTCCGTTCCCCATACCAACATCAAATACAGTGAAAACAGGGGTATTACCGTGGGAGAGGGACATACAAAACAACAACAACAAAAATCACAGGGTGCCTTATAAATACATTAGAAACAATAGCAAGAAAGAAAAAAACCACTTGCGTCCTTATCTTGGGGTTCATTTTGCTTAACATCATCTTATCTGACCTTTTCTGCTTGTCTCAGATATATACTAGTTATTGCAAATAAGGAGAAGTGGTGCTGTGGCTCAAGTGGTAGGGTGCTAGCCTTGAGCAAAAGAAGTTCAGGGACAGTGCCCAGGCCCTGAGTTCAAGCCCCAGGACTGGAAAAACAAACAAACCTTATTATACTCACTGAAACTTGAATTTTTTTTCCAATTTTTTTATTTGAAATGTGGCTAGTGTAATTGAGGAACTAAAGTCTTAATTTTCTTTAATTTTGCTTACTTTAAGTATTAATAGTCACTTAGAGCTTTGTGGCTACTCAAGTGAACAGCTGTGGCCTATGACGAAGCCTCTGGAACAACTTGAATGTAAGCTACATAAGTCACTCAGAGCTTTCCAGTAGTCACAGTAAAAACATCAAGCCCAAAAAACAAAACAACCAAAACCAACAACAACAACAACAAAAAACAGGAGTTTACTTGAAATTCAGCAGAGTCTATGTATTATTTAAGCCTTAATCCTCAGATTTCAGCTTTCTGAGTAGCCAGGATCACAGATAACCCACCAGCATGTAATTTCTATTTTTTTTT